AGTTCATCAAACATAAACTTACTATTAACATTGCAGCAGAAAATAGTTCAAAGTCTTACCCACAATTTTAGCGCTTTAATCAGGGCTCGATGCTAGTAGTAGCCAACTAGCCACAGACTAGTAGAAATTCAGTTTTGGCTAGTAGTTTTCGATTCTCACTAGCCAGTTTGGGTAGTAAACAAACTGAAATTGTTGTAACATCTACTGTATGTTGTCACTAGCCACTTGGCTAGTAAGTTGAAAAGTTAGTGTCAAGCCCTGTTAATATAATGAACATGGTTTCTACCAACTTTGACATACGATTGATCTTTTTCTGGTGTTTGTTGACAGGAATTTCTTCATTCAACACAGTTTTTCAATAGATTTTTGCATTAAATTACAACAAAAACATGAGCAGAACATTTGAAGCTTAGTAACCAGGGATTAGATTGGATGTGAAAATGGAAAACTGGAATTTGGCATCGACATTCATTACACCTTTTTCAATTGTTCCCACAGATAAGCCACACCACCAATTTTTAGCAACAATTTTTGGAAAAGAAGGTGCAGCTTTTTTGTGGGTTTTTGCGGTATATTAGCAAAGGTTCATCGTGAATATTCCAGATTGCTCCAAATTCCACATATCAAATTATATTTTAGTTGCAACCAGTAGAAAATCTATATCAATTGATACGTTAACATATTTTTCATTATGTTCTCTTTGCATTTAGGTGGATGTTGCTAACAAGTATGTAGAATATCATGCTGAACAGTTTGGATATTCAAAACCAAACACTGATTTTAAACTTGGAGAGATGGAACATCTATCTGATGTAGGAATACAGGACAGCTCTCTGGACATTATAATGTAAGAACAAAATATCATTATTCTGTGTTTATTACACAACTTGGGCAGTCACAGGGCCAATAACTAAAATCAACAAATCAAAACGCTCTATTGCCAGTCAATATTCTCTCAGTATTGGACCGGGCATTGTCCCAAATGGTCCCGAATGATACCGCTCTTGTATCCCTTCGAACTTCAGTCGTATAATAAATCTCTTATTAACCAAGCTTGCTCGGGACCGCACTGGAAGAATATCAGCCCTCGGTCTTTTTTGTATGCGCTTGGTCCATACTGTCAAGACCTGGGGCCGATATTCTCCCAGTACGGCCCTCACACTTGGTTGATAAGATATAGTGTTCATTGTGGTACAATCATAAATTATGATAGGAACTTGTTTTTGGAATTGCTTTTCATATACACATACTTGGAAATTAAAACCTAAAAAAGAGAATTGATGAAAGTGTCCATAATAAAAATCACATTTAGTATGAGCATGTAATCTGGTTGAAGACTTGAAATCATGAAACATAATGATTATGTGGCAGCTATACTCATCACACATTATCATTTTGCTTTTCTCATTTGAAGTTCAAACTGCGTTGTAAACTTAACTGCAGACAAGAGTGTTGTTCTCAAAGAAGCTTACAGAGTTCTCAAGGTGAGATGATGCTCTAAACAAGTTAACCTCTTATACCCTATCACCCGTATCATAATTCTGCACACTGTTCACTATACATTCCTAAGGTGCTGACAAGGAGAATTTGTTTATCAATCAAGAGATTGTGTAGTTGATGATCATTTCCTTTATTCTTGTGACGTTAATGTTTGATTCAGCGGTGATAGTGTGAGGAGAAATGAAAAGCCAGTCACCCTAAGGGGTCAAAGGGTTCATGTTAAATGAAGTTCGAAGTTTGAAGTTTGAAGTTTATTAATTCATAAGTACAATTGGCAGTTTGAAAAACTGAATTGTGTATTTACGTTACAAAAATTAAAATATAGGTCAAAATCATTGACTAATCTATCTTAATTAAAAGAATAAAAAAGCAAACAGGAGATGAGATGCTAAAAAAAGGTTATCGAAATACGAAATTTGTAAACTTTAACCTATTAGTTACTTGCTTTAAGGCAACTGAGAAAAGCTGTCTTAAAATGGTCAGTTTTAAAACACGGCATATTTAAAGGTCACGCATGCCTTAATGAATAAGTAGATTCATGTGGTGCAGGTAATAACTTATAAAGGCAGTGATTGTTGTCATTTACAATTGTGTGAAAAAGTGACTCATATTTCATCATGGGGGATTGCTAATCCCTTAAAGTTCATAATAACAAGAGCCTCGTGATAGCTAACACTGAAAATGGACATTGCTCCCTTCTGTATACATTCCAATCTTAGGCAAACTGAAGGGAAAGGCCGGAACTGCATAGTCCATAATTGATCTCATACAACTAGAGTAGAAGAGCCCCAAATCAATGCAAGTAACCTTAGCTCTCTTAAGTTGCACCAAAAAATGTAGTGTCGTAGAGGCCTTCTTAAGAATTTCATTAATATGAATATTCCAGGTCAAATCACTGGAAATATTGAGACCCATTAACTTTACACTGTCTACAACTTCTAAAGCTCAAATATTGAAGATGTTAATGAAAATTATTGATGACAAGGTCCCATGTGATCTGTTTTAGGATGGAGGTGAGATGTACTTCAGTGATGTTTACACAGACACGAAACTATCTGAGGAAGCCAGAAAAGACGAAGTGCTTTGGGGTAAGTGATTTATCTCTGTTCAGTCCTTTCTACTTATATATTGTTGTATGAAGAAAAGTAGTAGAGGGAAAATTTCTCACCATCTATTCATTACAAAAATATCATGGGACTTTTGGTAAAAACCTTCATATTACCTTTTTGGTTTATCTGCTTTGTTGTAAATGATGACATTAAAGAGCAGGAAATCTAGTTTCCTGAGGTTGGGACTTTCATATTGGATGCAAAGGAAAGAGGCCTTTTTATATCTCAGGGTGAGATTTAATTTTCCTGTAAGAATGGTGGTTTTTAAGTAATAAATCTTCTACATTTCTCAAGGACACCATTGTTGGTAGAGAACTTAATATGTAATGATTTGTTAAAGAATCTTTTGACGTGAAAACGTGTATGAAATATTCCTTGTGTGACGGTTAGTGGTTAGAAGTCTTAACATGATACTTTGCTATGTTAAGCCAGATACTCCATCTATTTTTTATTCCGTCAGGTGAATGTGTTTCAGGGGCGTTACACTGGAAAGAGCTAGTCGAACTGAGCAAAGAAGTGGGATTCTCTGGACCACATTTAGTGACTGCCAGACCGTTTGTAGTTGGAGAACACCTCAGAGAACCACTAGGTATGAGTCATTTTTTCAAAATTGATATCTTTACTGACGTTGAGCCATTAAAACAGCAGAGCTTCCCCGCTACAACACACAGTTCATGACTATTGCCTGACCAAACCAGTAGATAAGCTGAAATACACAGAATAGTCACCTAAAGTACACCTGACAATTATGGTCTGGATCTGATATAGTTATTTTCTCTTGTTCCAATTCAGGTGATGCACAGTTTGTCTCAGCCACTTATCGTTTGTTCAAAGTCCCTGAAAGCTGTAAGACAGATGCATCTAGAGTGACATACAAAGGTGAGGTAAATAGCGATTAGAGCGGGTCAGAATGTGCGAGGCGTGGTTGGATAAAGGGGAGAAACAAAGAAGGAAGTTATTTTAGTTTCTAAAGTCGAAGTCTTTTGTGCCACAAATAAAAAATTATTTCCATCGCAATTCTTGTCGTTCCAAGTCTGAGTAAAAGAAAATATTTAGAAGTGTTGAATTTGAATTAATAATAATAATAATAATAACGGTTTATTCACAGTATATCCACATAAAAGGTGTGGCTCTTCATCTGTGAAGGCCTACGATACTAATATTTAATATTAGAACTAAATTATAATGACTAACTAAAATTGTAATAAAAACTATACATGAAAGTAAATATGTAGAATATATTGGTTGTTGGTGGTGGTTGTTTCTATATCTTTACAAGAAGACAAGGCGCGCGCCTTTAAGAACGCCTTACAGAGCCTGCAGTATTCTTTAAAATCTGTGCAATTCCTTATATTCGCTGGCAATTCGTTAACAATCATGGCTGCTGAAAGTTAAAAGGTGCCTTGTACAAATGGAACATAAAGCCTTGGAGCAACGCTGGAACGGAGATGCCAAATGGGTTTAACGACTTGCAAATTTAAATGGGAGGGTCAGTTATCAGAATACAGTGCTTTAACAATAGTCTTTAGTAGCGAGTAGTCCCTTAGCTTCAGGATAGGTAGCCAGCCAAGATTCAGAATGGTAGATATTCTGTTTACATATTTACAAGTGACGAAACTAGCCATGGCGAACTGGAGCCTTTGTAGTCTAGCTGAGAGGAATTTTGGTATTGGATAAAAAACAATGTCACAGTAGCTTATTTTAGACAGAATTAATGTTTCTAACCAAATGTTTTCGTAGTTTAAAATTAGTAAAGTAACTTATTTTTCTTAAGGTTCTGAGAGTCGCATAACAAGATTTAAGAATAGAACCGATATGAAATTCCCATTTAAGATTCGAGTCAATGTGTACTCCCAGGAGTTTTTAAATCTGTATTTAAATGAAAGAAATAACTAGTGGCGAAACGGCCAGGCGCTGCCTTTCCTCGTGAAGGATTAACCTGGCTCCAAGAATGTTTTGGAAAACGACGACGTGCTTGGGACGAGAACGAAATACTTCACAGCGAAAAATAATAGGACCTAAAAGTAGTTTCAAGTCCGACGGTAAGGTGAAGTAGTTCTTCGTGAGTGAGCTTGTGGGAGGGGGTGGTGGGGTTAAATCCGTGTGGGGCAAAATCTCTGGGCCGGGTTGTTCAAAGGCGGATTAAGATAACCCAGGATTACCGTGAAATTTAATTGCAGATCTGAAAGCTTTAAAATTAAATTCATTTTAATTTCATTTGTTTACAATTTGGTGATTGAATGCTCTAAGAATAATTGGGAAAATTATCTTAAAAGGGCTTTTGAACAGAGAAATATAGAAACCTGGATTGACATTTAACCCTGGGTTAGCGCTAATCGGTCTTCGAACAACTGGGCCCTGGTTACCATGCAAATATCATCTTAATCAATATTTGTTGTATGGTTATCGTTGCACCCGTTGCTTAAGAGAGGGACAAATACATGTGGATGCAGTGAAATATGAGGTACTTACAGTTACTTATCAACAAAAGTGCTCTTCCCAAGTACCGGTTATTGAATTAAGTTACGAGTTTCTTTTTCTCAGGCTCTATCGAGGAAAACCCAGAAGAGTTCAAGTTTAATGTTTACAATATATTGACGGTATGTTGATCTCTCTAAACCGTGTTTCTTCTTCTTCTTTTTTTTTTTTTTTTTTCCAACTATTGCTCAGGAAGTGAGAGATTGTTTTGAGTCACAAACAGGCATAATCAGAAAAAAAATCCCGCGTGCTCCTTGCGGCGATGGATTCTATGGCCTTTAGATGTGTTCTTCGGAAACTCTGTCTTTGAATTTTACCCCGGAAAAAAGGACATAATTATGTGAAGAAAACGTGGTCCACCAATGATGATAAATAGTGTTGAAAGACCCTTTACGACTCCTACCCTAGCGATGTTGTTGTTCTTCTGCTCGAGAAAATGCTTTAGAGTTTAGAGGTAGCTACCATAACGGACGAGTCTGTTCAAACTTAATGGTAGAACATATCAAATACTCAGCCGGAGGTCATAGGTCCAACTCTTGTTTGGACACACGGAATTGCTTTCCCGAATATCCCCTCGTGCCAACTGAGAAAATCATCGTTTTTTTTTACCGCCAGGATTAAGAGTCCATTTTGTGATTCCCATTAATACAGCTCATGCGGAATTAATCACTGCATTTGAACATTGTTTTGCAGAAAACACCAAAGCTTGTTTCCTCTGATGTGGCAAGTGTCCTCAGTGCGTCGCGTTTCTCGAAGCATTTCGAATTCCAACCGCTAGAGCCTGGAACCACAGTTCCCGTTGATGACGTGTACATACAGGCGGATCCGTTTGCTTATTGTGCGTCAAACAAAGTGGCGCCAGGAGCATGTTGTCCCAAGCCGGCCAAACCTGTTGAGCAGGAAAACGGCTGTAGCCCGAAACGTGCGAAAACGGATAATGGGGCTCGCTGCTGTTAAACTTCGTTTTCAGTATCCACGGAAGACTTGAGGCAGGATTCTAATGATCTTGTAGTCGATAAAGAAATGAATTTCAATTATGCTCTCTCTCTTTGCAGTAACCGCGATTACCAAGGTCTACAACGCTTAATAAACGAAACCATGAAAGTTACAATTGATTTGGTTCTATGTAGCGCTGCGGCACTAGCGTTTCTTCGCCAGCGAGAAAGTTTGATTATTCACAGGTGACCAGACGCATAATTTTGAGCCATACTAAGTAGGTTTGTTTAATCATTTATGATGCTCGAATGCTTTTTTCCGACGTTATGTCTTCTTCAAATTCTTACAGCGCAGAGAGAAGAACCAACTAGTGCAATTATGCAAAATAGGATGACTGATGAACCCCCTGTAAAAGAAAACGGCCAATTCTTTCACCTTAATGGGTCCTCTTACCGTAATTGAGCTTGTGCCCTTATTTTGGCCCTCTGCGCGTGCGTGATGCAAAGTAGAGGTTGCGCAATGCAATGTTTAACAATGGCACTCAGGCGTGTGAGCGAGCCTCGCCAAAATCTTTCAACCCTGACCGGTTTTACTTTGTACGTGAGCGCTAAGTATTCACAAGTTCTCTCTTTCTCTAAAATAAAAGTTTTTTTTTTCTGCGAGAGATGAACACAGAAAGTGCAGAAGAAGTTAAAGAAAGTGTGAAGGCCTACTATGGTAAAACGCTTAAGTCTTCCGATGATCTTCAATCGAACGCCTGTAAACTAGGTGAAAAACAAATGTCCAACGCCGTTGAGAGCGCCTTGAAACTTGTCCACAAGGAGGTATCGAGCAAGTAAGACAATAATGGAGTTGTGTAACTCTCTATGTTAGTTTACTTTTAAGATCAAGAACTCTAATCGAGTTGTAGGTTAACTGCCACACACAGCTTTCAGACGATATTGCGTTTTAAAATGTAGTCGAGCATCACTGGAAGTCGTGATGACATGCGATTGCGTGATATTTTAAGAGTATCCCGCGGAGTTGTGTAATTAAGTCTCTATGTTAATCTACTTTTAAGATCAAGAACTCTGATCGAGTTGTAGGTCAACTGTCATTTTCAGCTTTGAGACGACAATGCTTTTTAGAATGTAGTCTAGCATCACTAGAAGTGACGACAAGCTAATGCGTGATGTTGTTTTCTGTAAGAGGCGCTTCGCAACGTGAGTTCCAAATGGTTAGCTATGCATTTACTTGTAACTATTCCGGGGTCACGCTATGTTTGCAACAACTAGCTTTCAGTACTTTAGTCAAAGTTCACCCATTAAAAGCAAGGGCTGTTTCAATGCAATCAATTGAGGCCCTTATTAGCATTTTAAGGAGAAGTTTGTTGCATCGACAGGCGAAAAGAAAACGTAATTGATTGTGCGACGAAGAAAAAATGACGCTTCAAGATTTGAGCTGTCGAGGTCTCTTCACTATATATTTATTTACTTGAACGCGACACCGCAGAAATACACACAACCCACAATTCCTCGATTCGCTCCGACGAAGGGCTAACGCTCGAAACGTCAGCTTTTGTAATCATTACGGTGGCTAATTTACCATTTCAACTTTGTTGATATATCCAAATTATACCGCAGAAATACGTTTTTTAGGGCACGATACAGTATTCTACTGGTCAGCGGATACCTTAACAAAACGGTAGAGATGTCATGTATGGGGAATTATTACGTCACCAAAACATATAATGTCCTATACTTTACATATGATATCCTTACCTTACATACGACAGACATATACACCTATACAGAGCTATATACAGTTATATATTGCTATACAGGGCTATATACAGTTCTACACGGCTATGAATGGCTATACAGAGCTATACACAGCTATACAGGGCTATACACAACTACACAGGGCTATACACAGCGATACACAGCTATACCGGGCTATACAGAGCTATACAGCGCTATACACAGCTATAAAGGGCTATACACAAGTATACAGGGCTATACACAGCTATAAAGGGCTATACACATGTATACAGGGCTATACACAGCTATACAGGGCTATACACAGCTATACAGGGTTATACACAACTAAAGAGGGCTATACACAGCTATAAAGGGTTATACACAGCTATACAAACCTATACACACCTATACAGGGCTATACACACCTGTACACAGCCATACAAAGCTGAAGGGCTAACGCTGGAAACGTCAGCTTTTGTAATCGTTACGGTGACCAATTAAATTTAATTTCAACTTTGTTGATATATCCAAATTATTTCGTTACTCCCACCGACGCAGCCCCAAACAGTTTCTTTCGAAACTATCAGCCTTTATACAGTGCTATACACAGCTATAGAGGGCTATACACAGTTATAGAGGACTATACACAGCTATACAGGGTTATACACAGCAAGACAAGGCTATACACAGCTATACAGGGCTATGCACAGCTTTACATGGCTATACACAGCTATACACGGCTATACACAGCTATACAGGGCTATACACAGCTATGCAGGGCTATACACTGCTATACAGGGCTATACACAGCTATACACAACTATACAGAGCTATACACAGCTATGCAGGGCTATACGCAGCTATACACAGCTCTACAAGGCTATACACAGCTATGCACAGTCCGAAAAAAACCATTTCATTTTTAACCAGTGGTGATATATTGGAAAATTTCAACAACATAGCCCTTAGAAAAATCAAGAATCATTCATGTACTGAAACGTTTTTATTGCGATCCGTTTCTTTCATAGACTTCACATTGTTCGGGAACAGTTCAAGTTTGTTGTGGTTAGATTTTCAACTTCCATTTTGTTTTTCCATCATACTGGATTTACCTCAATGTAAAAAAATTATATATGAAAATTTTACTTTGTTTCACTAGCTATTATTAAAGTGAAGTTATTGCTTCAAGTTTTTTTTTCTTTTGTTACGTCTCCATCAGTTTCACATGTTTTTACGGAACTATTTGTGTGATCCTGTTTAGATGGAATTCCGTGGCTTCACCGAGGGCACGAAAAAAACATTGAAGGGGTAGCTACTTTCATATCTATGACCTTTTGCTGAGGTTGTTCAAAATTGTTCAGTGACCATTTAACGGTGATTTTTCACTGATAGAACGCGACTTTGAGATGATCGTTAATTAACTTGCTTCTTTGTTACTCGTGACGTCACGAAATTCTGTTCTCATCATTGTCACCTAGTACCTATGTTTCTAAAACGCTCTCGCCGGGAAAACATACGTGTTCAGTCGGATTATTTCACCTTCTCTAACTGCTATGTTATTCCCAAAAATCTTTAAATTACAGAGCTCGGATTTTGTCTTTCAGAAAACTGTTCCGTTCTTATTTCATGTATACCAGGACAACTCAACCCACTGAACACCGCATAACCGGAATTAGGGAATGCTAGGTAGGAAGCGAATGCCGGATTATAGAAAGAGAATCGTGGCTGCCAGATCGCGGGATGGTTTATTTCGCACATAAACTTCACCCTATGTAAATGATGAAACCCTTACATTGCGCTGTTTAGGTGTGTATAGCTGTGTTTAGAACTGTATAGCTCTGTATAGCTCCGTATAGTTGTGTATAGCCCTGTATAGTTGTGTTTAGCCCTGTATAGCTGTGTATAGCCCTGTATAGCGGTGTATAGTTGTGTATAGCTGTGTATAGCTGTGTATAGCACTGTATACCCCTGTATAGCTGTGTATAGTTGTGTATAGCCCTGTCGAGTTGTGTATAGCCCTGTATAGCTGTGTATAGCGCTATATAGCCCTGTATAGCTGTGTATAGCTGTGCATAGCTGTGTATAGCGCTGTATAGATGTGTATAGCCCTATGTAGCTGTGTATAGCCCTGTATAGCTGTGTATAGCTCTGTATAGCTCTGTATAGCTGTGTATAGCCCTGTATAGCTGTGTATAGCTCTGTATAGCTCTGTATAGCCCTGTATAGCTGTGTATAGCCCTGTCTAGCCATGTATAGTCCTGTATAGCCGTGTATAGCCATGTATAGGCGTGTAGAGCTGTACATAGCCCTGTATAGCTGTGTATAGTATATATAACTGTATATAGCTCTGTATAGGTGTATTTGTCTGTCGTATGTAAGGTTAGGATATTATATGTAAAGTATAGGACATTATGTGTATTGGGGACATAAAAATTCCCCATGACTTTCCTACCACAAAACTATAAAATGCCCATAACTTTGCAACTTGTTCTCGCCGGGAGTATAGTCGACAGCGTGAAAAGGCGAAACTTAGAAAGAATACTGTAAACTTAGCTTTGAAACTCGGCTCATCTTTTGGATAGTTCTTATGCTCAATCATATATTTTGCCTGAATGACATATTTTGCCAAAGCCAAACTAAATGACATGTCTGTCCCTACTCACTGCAAATCGGCCTGTTACGTTGATGATGCTAAACTATACCTGTCCTTTGCCTCATCCGACATGTCCACCGCAATTCATAATCTAAATGCGGACCTGGAACAAGTCTCCAGATGGTGTCGCCAAAACTCTTGGGTGGGGTAAGCAGATTTCAGAAAACTTGAGGTGGACAATAGGAATCACAGCGGTAACTGTCAACGCTTCTCAGAGAATAAAAATTTAACAGAAAATGTGTGATAAAATTAAAAAAGAAAGCGCGTCGGCGATATTGCTCAGATCGCACTCTCGGACGTGGATTTTACAACCATTACTGGCAATCCGTCGCAGTTCCCCGCTTTTTCGATGGAAGAGCCGAATGTTCCCAACATCTATACCTCACAGCCAAATTTACAATCCCAGAGGAGCACTTTGCAGAACCAATCATTGCTGAATTCACTGCTGATTAAATAAATGAAAAGTAGAAGTATCACTTTGGTAGTTATCACTGATGCTGCAACAGGTCGCATTCTTTTTTAGTTCTTCCTTGGAGGTTTTCTTTTTGAAGCCGAGCTCCTTTATTCGAACAACACGTGAATAAACGCGTATCTGATCTACTTCAGTTGTCATTGACGCTTTTCTGCACCAGTGCGACTTTTGACTCAGTTTGATACGAGTTTTACTTTTCGGTTGTGGTTTTAAATTTTCTGTGGTGTTTGGACGGCAAAGATGAAAACTTTGCTTAAGTACGACCTATGCCTATGTCTCCATGTCGTGCGGAAACACAAAATGTAAGAATTCATCTCGAAAGGCACCCGCAAACGTAGAAAGTAATCTAGAGAAATACCACTATTTCCAGTACTATTTGATCGTCAGAGCTACTATTAGAGCTTGTCGGACTTGTACGGCTGTAATTGGTTCGATTCGAGAAGATCATTGACCGCTGTTCCCAATGGTCGAAAAGATTATTTTTAGAAGCGTGGCATTCAATTTGTGAACCGAATGCCATTAATGAACACATTTACATTTCTGACATTTACAAGGCCCGTGGAAATCCCAAGTGACGTTTCTGCGGCGGAGGGTGCAATTTGCAGGTGGCCGGTCGCAGGTCGCAGGTTGTTTCAACTGATGTTCTTGTTGTTGTTACCGTTATGTTTCTACCACCAAGAGAGATCTGATACGGCTTACGTAAGGTAATTTTAATTGCATAAAAGAGGGGACTTTGGGCACCTCCCCTGGTTTCAGTACATAGGCTAAAACCACTTGAGGGCAGTTTCGCCGAGGGTGACTTCAAACCGTGACCCTGTTTAAGATAAGGGACTGTTTTTCATGACCCTGTTTAAGACTGTGGCCTAAAAGCCCTGTTTAAGGAAATATTTTCTTTTTAGACAGAATACAATACAATACAAAATGGGAAAAATTCCAAAGACTGTTAAGCTTGTTCAAAAGCTATCATCAAAGGAAGGGACTATGCGCTCCAGTCAAGTCACACTATCTTTAGAAAAAAAACTAAGCTGCAGTTTACTAAGTCACAGAGCAATTATCCATAGTTGATGTAGCTTCCTTTTAAGCTGCACGTCAATCTTATAATATTGGATCTGTAAATCATGCTGAAATCATGCACAAAACGGGATAATTTAACATTCTGCAAAGAAAACGAACAAGCTGGGCCCAGCGTTAGAACTCTACATTCGCGGACTAAAGAAGATCGCCTAGTCATCAACATCCAGAATACAATTTGGAGAAAAGTTCAACCCTTATTCAGCCATGATAAAAAGCCTTATGCTTCAAAGGAGGTCTAAGAAAACGCTATTAGAGAGGAAATCAACAAAAACCACAGTAAATCGATCTGTGTCCAATTACCTCTCAATGTGACATAAGCGGCTAAAACTACATTAGCTCAGTAAAAATGCTACATTCCCGAGCATAATCTACCTAGCAGAGGTAATTAGAATACTTTATAAAAAGGAGCAGCATTTTACCATGAGGTAAAAGTCGTGAAGGCCACTTTTTTTTGCTTTAAAACGTGAAGCTGTGAAATTTTGATCTATAGGGCTTCGGATACAAATTCCTAAACGTGCAGAGGATAACAATTGATTTATCAAAAAAAAGGCTATTTTGGAAAACACAAAATAGTTTGGAAAGCGTTTTTATTTACATTCATAAGAACTATATGGTTTTGTTAAGGTGTCCGCTGAGCAGTAAAATACTGTATCGTGCCCTATAAAACGTATTTCCGCGGTGTCCTTGAACGCTCTTCGGGTTGTGTGTCGCAAACTATTTTGGCACATTATAACAAAGCAGATTCTTGCGATTTACGAGAAGTTTACGTAAGCAAAACTGCTTAATATTTGCAAAATAAAGCATTAGAGATTATCTAAACTTGTTTGATAACAGGTTTTATGGGTGTGGCTTAGTGGCCCCAGAAGCAATTGATGGCTTGCATATCCTGGATCTTGGAAGTGGGTCGGGACAAGATTGTTTTGTACTCAGCAAGCTGGTTGGTGAACATGGCCATGTTACTGGGGTGGACATGACCAAAGAACAGGTATATAGGTAGTTCGTTATAGGGTGCAGTTTGACTAAGTGTTTCCCGACCGAAAACTGAGTACGTGGTTATAGCACCAAATTAGAACAACGATAGAGATAGAGGTAAGGTAAGAATTAAAAGTGGCCAATAAGAACTCGAAGTAAACGCTTGTCGGACAGAGCGGGAAAATAGGATATTGAGGGCCACTGGTTTGTCAGCGCAAGCTGTTATGTGTCTACCCTCTTTAAATAAAGTCGATTATTATTATTATTATTATTATTATTATTATTATATCGCAAGTCGAGATCGGTTAATTCCTCGAGAGAGAGGGTAACGTGAATCACTTTCAAAACAGTTCGCTGAGCTTGTTTGTGTAAGACCAGCCCATACGAATGTTACTTTTGAAATAATTTGATTTGTTTTAATTGAATTTAATCATCCGTTTAGCCCGAACTTAAATTTTTAGCAAATTAGAATTGATGTTTCAAGTATGCTCTTTTCGATTATATTGCCTGCATACCTGCAAACTATAATTGGATCTGCAGCCGGTTCTATATTACCCGCAGGTATTAGGCTAAGAATTTTTATGAACCACCCCCAATCTTCCGATCAATTGTTTTCAGTATACACTGCATAGATACTAACAAATATTGTTTAGTGCAATCCCGGCACTCCTTTGGAGGATCCGTGCATTTTTTTTTTCCATTGCTCGTCATTTTCCCAAATTTACCAAAATTCTGGGTGTGTTACACAAGAGTCTACCTAGAATATAGTTACGTAAAGTGGCTGATCTGTATATTCTCATCAGGAGATAAAACAATTTCATTTCGTTGCCTCGTTCCAAGGTGGACATTGCCAACAAGTATGTAGAATATCATGCAGAGCAATTTGGATATTCTAAGCCGAACACTGATTTCAAACTTGGTGAGATGGAGCGACTATTTGATGTAGGAATACAGGACAGGACTATAGACATAATAATGTAAGTAAATCCAGTTTACAGTTGTGTTTTCTCTTGTTGGGGTGTGTCAACAGGGCAGGGGTTCCTCAATTTTCCTTTAGGTGAGCAACTGGGTTCCAACTGTTGATGTAGAAGTGAAGGTATTAGTGAAAAACCCTTCTACTAAGCTAGAAATAACGAGGGGCTAACGCTAGTCAATTTACATTATTAGTAAATAAAACCAACACATCTAAAAATAACATAGTTGAGTGAATTTTGAAACGTGTGTGAGGTCATGACTCACACGTGCTGAGAAAATATCTCCCCAAAAAGGGGAATAGACCACGGTGTATTGAATACATCATTCCTAATGGATCCAAGTGGGGACTTATTCCTAGAAGCGTATGACAAACTCACAATGAAACAAGGTAAACCAGACATACCAGACTAACCTCCTTGCTTATCTTTTTCATTCGCAGTTCAAACTGTGTTGTGAACTTGACTGCTGACAAGAGAGTTGTTCTTAAAGAAGCTTATAGAGTACTTAAGGTGAGAAAACTCTGCGATCAAGTTAGTTTTTTGTGTTTTCAGAAAAGTAACTCGTTTTTAGAACTATCAATCATCGCACAAGTCTCATAACGTGATCTGTTATAGGATGGAGGCGAGGTATACTTCAGTGATGTTTACACCGATACAAAACTACCCGAGGAAGTCAGAAAAGACGAAGTGCTTTGGGGTAATTGCTTTGCTTTTGGTTGATAAAGGACCTGTGACTCCTCCCTCGTCGGGTGCACGAGACACTAACCAACTAAGGTTCCGTTTATAGGCTGATGTCCCCGAAGGGAACCTTAGTTGGTCAGTGTTTCATACACCTGATGAGAGAGGACTAGCAGTGCAATGCTATAATTTATCCTTTACTATTCAATTAATTCTGTATCTCCATGAGTGCAGAGCACTCTGCGACTCAAAAATGAGGTTTTTCCGTATATGTATATACATAGATATATGCGCCATGAAGTAAAGTGGTCAACGTTATTTTCTTTAAGAGCACAGATATGTTTGCTGAGTTCAGTAGAGTTTCTGTGTTTTATGTGTCGGAATGATGCGGTGTGGTATCTGTTTCTAGTTTTAAAGTCCTTTTCTGTGAGTCCGATGTGTGTTTCAGTAGTGCTGTTGTCCTTACGTGTGACAGTGGCTTGGTAAATTATTGATGTTTGGAGGCAGTTTCCGTCAAGTGGGCAAGTGTTCTTTTGTTGGCAGTTGCAAGTTTTGTTGCTTTTTGTGCTCGTGCCATCTGCGGTGTCATCGATGTGTTTGGACGAATTTAAAACGCGTTTGTTGTGCTTGTCGATGATCTGTTTGGTGTTATCCATGCAGCTGTAACTGATCTTGATCGTATTTCGGTTGAAGATTTTTCTAAGATTGTGGTCTTAAGGGAAGTGCCTGTCTACTACGGCAAGGAATCTGTGTCCGATATTGGCGCCCACAAGAGAGAAGTTAGAGCTGTATAATTTTAGGATCAAACCCCTCCAATTCAAGATGTTTTGACTTTCATTAACTTTCCTTGAAGTGATGCGCGTTCGGTTTTGTCAAAAATAAATCTACTTGTCCTCCTTCTACCATTCCTTGTCACTTTTTTATGATCATTGACGTGTTGTATCCTCAGGCGAAGGTATTGGAGGAGCTCTTCACTGGAAGGAGTTGATTGAGCTATGCAAGGAAGTTGGTTTCTCCAAGCCATACTTAGTTACTGCCAGACCTTTTGTAGTTGAACCACATCTCAGACAGCCCCTTGGTAAGTACTCAAATTGTGTGGGCAAACTATTCAAATACGTAAAATCATCATAATCATCACATCATCATCCATGGTCGTCTTTCTGGCCAAACTGATCTTAAACTGTCCTGAAACAAAAACATCGAAACAAACACTGTTTCAAAGTGCACTGTTTTTTGTAGGCAAAGCACAGTTTGTGGCAGCTACATATCGCCTGTTCAAGGCCCCTAACAGAAGTGAGAAAGTCGCTTCTAGAGTGACGTACAAAGGTATGTTTGACAGAGAACTAAAGAGGATCAAAACGCCTTGGAGGAGGTGCAATTAAGGGGATGAAATAGCAAAAAGTAGCTTTAAACAAAACTAAAAAAACAACAAATCTTTCTTTTTACCTTAACTTTCATCGTCTGTTTCTTTCAAACTAATCCCACGTAAGGTTTAGCAATGCCCTATTTCTCGGCTCCTATTTGGTACGTATGTACTTGCAACTCATTTAGTAGCATAACAAACTTCATTTCAGTGATAAACGAGGGTAAAACAGAAGATTCCATTGACAAAACACGACAGCTACTTTGAAATGTTTGGTTTTGGCAGAATTATTTTTCCCTTTACTTTGAAGTGAAACAAATGCATTAAGGTGCTGTGAACTTAAATAACATGAACTTAACAGCATTAGCGCCAATGTACGAGCTGAATGAAGTTTTCTAAGAACATGGTTTAATGCCACGTTACACGCTTCTTTTCCCAAGGAACTATAGAAGACAACCCAAACGAACTCAAGTTGAGCGTTCATAACACCTTTACGGTATGTCAATTTTTTTAGGCGGTAAAACTACAATTGCGCACAAAAATCAATGTGGACAATAGGTTTAATATGTAATGGAGAAAAATCGTCGCCCTCCTATGCAAAACTTAAATAGTTGTTAAAGTAAGACCATGCAGCTCTACGTACATATTCTGTCCATTTCAAAGCTTAAACATTATCGCAAGGGCATGGAATTAAAGAGTTTTTCAGGTTTGAATTCTTAGGTTTGACGATCTTTCCCCCAATCCTCAAACCACGATTCACATGGGAAATTAAATACATTTTCTTTGATCTATGAGTCATTTATGTTTCAGAGGAAAACCAAGGTTGTTTCTGCTGATGTAGCAGGTGTCCTTAGTGCGTCCCGTTTCTCGAAGCATTTCGAGTTCCAGCCGCTAGAGCCTGGAACCACAGCTCCTGTTGATGACGTTTGCATTGACGCGGATCCTTTTGCCTATTGTGCTTCAAACAAAGTGGCGCCAGGAGCATGTTGCCCCAAACCAGTCAAAGTGGAAAATTGAGCAGAGAAATGGCTTGTCACCCGAAATGTAGGAGGAGGGTTTACAGGGCTCCTTTCTAGGCCAACCGTAAACCTTTTGAGACAGAAATGTAGTCTAGCTTGAACCTTAATTGTTGTTACTAAGTCAGTTATTTTGGAATTCACATCCACTGTTTAGCAAGTTGAGCTTTCTACTCCTGAGTGAGCTCTTACTTGAAGTGCTTGCAGATTATTGAGAAGCCAGTGGTTATTTTTTGTTTTGTTTTATTTATTTTTTCTCTTTTCTTTTTTTTTTTTAATATTTTAAAGCATTTGATCACTTGCCTAAAGTAGTAGTGCCATCGATTGATACACGACTAATAGCCAGAAGCCATGCAGAACAATTAATAAACACACTTCTGAGTGTTAATTGCCCGTGAGTAAAATTTTCGTTTGCTTATTAAGTGTGTAAAGCTTATCAGGCTTTGAAGGTAATAGGGTACTAATATCCCTCTCTATTCCTGTTTGGTTTTTAAAAAAAAACCGTACAAACATCGACAAGGAGTTGATCCAAGTTTAACTCCAATCTCTTACTCCCTCGGCTATCAAAGTCGCGGGAGTCCTAGGGGCGAAATGAAAAAAAAGGAGGCCGGTGGAGTAACTTCTTTTCGAGCGATTCTTTAAACCAAAATTAAAGAGAGGCCTGACGGCTAAAGTTCCCTATTATCGATATCAAAAATATCATGATACGAGCCTTCATCGAGTCGATAGCCAGGTGGCAGATACAACAGCTCCTTCCTATGTATCCGTTTTTCGCCAACACTTTTGCAGGCCGCAGTACAAAAGAAAACCTGGCGACACGAATTAATTTGACATGCAAATGGGAAACGTAAAAAAGGGTCGAGACACCGAGGAGTTCCATTATGCCCATAGTAAATGAATGAAAAACTATCATCGCGAAAAAAAATCTCTTTAATTTAAAAATCGTCTGGGTTCGAGTTGACATTTTTAAAATTACAGGAATAGTTACACCACCCTATTGAATTACATCAAGTTCAAAATCAGCGTTTAGCTTGACACCCTTCTTGTTTTTTTTTTTTTTTTAAGAGAACGAAGTTGAAGAGCTCGATGTTGATTTGTTTGTATCCGCCTTTTAAAGTGGGAAAAACACATTTGAATTACAAATAATTTTCATAATTAATATTCATATTTTCGCTTGGTCTTGCACGTGGAAAGAGCTTACGAACAACAAGAAATTTCAACGTCTTTTCCACCTTCTACGGATTCAAGAAACACATTATTTGATCTTACTATCCTGGATATCGTCAGTCCTTTCAAGGTCGAAAGAATTTATTTTTCTGCTGAGCCGAGTGGTTCAAATTCGGCGTTGAGGATTCACAGAGTTAATAGAGGGAACTGGTTATGAAAGCCGGCGGACTTCAAACGATGGAACTCTCTGGGATTCATGGCTTTAATTTTGTCACGACTCTTCTTCAGGTAATCAACCTATGTTTCACATATTTAGGATAGCGATGCAGTTTTCGTATTCTTCGTTGTTGCTCTAATAGAATCAATTTATGCAGTCGAGTGTAAGAAGGGCGAGCAAGATCACATAGCCGACAATCTGGGACGAATCCTTTTTAGCAGTCGCCATGACAGTTTCTTGGTTGTATCTTAAATGGTAACGCCAAGAAAATCGTGCTTAACTGTTAGGGTACTTACAGCGTATTGCTTTTCTGTATTGATATTCCATATACTATGCACAGTTTTCATGCTTACAGTGTTGCGGCATTTAGTTTGCTATTAACGCCCGTGGTAAACAAGAGTTGTAAAGAAATACTTGGCCATTAAAGGAAATGTTTTAATGTTCTTTCTGCCCTCCCAAACTACCAAAGCGTAGGTTAAGCTCGTCGACTGCCTTTGAACCCTGCTTTTTTTTAACAGATTAGTTACGAAGTCGTATAAGTTAAAATTTCCTATTTCTTCATTTCATTATCTACTTTGAATTTTTCTGTATAAAATATGATCTTTCCATCCTGAACGAGTCCCATTATTTTCTCTTTCATCCTGACATCATACGCAATAACAAATATTTTCTTATCCAATAACAGTTTTAAGCAAAAGAGAAGATGGCTCGGAAACCAAGAATCGAAAAATAGGGAGGGAGGGAGGAACAAAGAGCATCATCCAATAAGGTTGGTTTTTCAGATATGTAACGATCAAACTAAACGTATTTGTGCACGATCCTCGCAGTAAAGAGCACTATTTAAGCAATAGTGAAAATCAGACCTGAAAAAATTCAGGCCTGTACGGGATTCTAGCCACTGACCTCTGCAATACTAGTGATTTTCACTATTGCTTAAATAGCGCTCTTTACTCCGAGGATCGTGCACAAATACGTTATTATAACCGCAGTTCAGATATATGGATTTCATATATTCGTTGTGTTTGATCAAACTAAAGTTTAAAATGAAGGATACTTCAAATAGTGATTAAAGATAGTTTATCCAGTCTAGGATTTCTTCGATTTCTGTCCAATTAAGACGACTTGAAGTAGTTTGATTAATTAAAGGATTCTTTTTTTCTCAATCGATTGTTGGTAAACATTTGGTATCAAATTACAATGGCAATAGTTAGCTTGTCTAATACCGAAGTATACTTCACGTAAAATGCCAATTTTTATAGTTACCGTAGCTCGTTTACTCCCAATTAATTGCTCTACTTTTAGTTTTAGAATTGTGAATGAATTATTAAAAAACTAAAAGTCCCTGCTGCCTTGTTCAATAAGACTACTTAAATCAAATTTGGCTCTTAATGTCTAAATGAGTTTTTCGATCCGGGCGGTGACCTTCATAATTCACACTTAAAGTGCACCTACACCCAAAAAATTTTTTTCGCTTAACGAAGTAAGCTTATTTTTTTGAGTATTTCTGCGCAAAAATTTTTTTATTTGCTCAAATCTTCAATTTTCTATGCCCAGTCAAAATATGGAAAATCGGCCGCCATCTTGCCCCACGACCGAGTTTAAAGAAGAATGGCTCTAGCGGGTAATGTGACGTCAAATCGAGAACACGAAAGTCTGCATCTCACACATTTTCACTTGTTTGGGAAGATTGTCGTCGATATCGTCCGAAATATGCCGACTAGGTGTGTTGTATGAAGATTGTATGGAGCGCGATACCCTCTTGCAAATTTCGCACGTTGCTACATCCTTCTACAACACACTTAGTCGGCATATTTTCGGACAATTATCGACTACAACCTTCCCAAACAAGTGAAAATGTGTGAAAAGCAGACTTTCGTGTTCTCGATTTGACGTCACATTACCCACTAGAGCCATTCCTCTTTAAACTCGGTCGTGGGGCAAGATGGCGGCCGATTTTCCGTATTTTGACTGGGCATAGAAAATTGAAGATTTGAGCAAATAAAAAAATTTTTGCGCAGAAATACTCAAAAAAATAAGCTTACTTCGTTAAGCGAAAAAAATTTTTTGGGTGTAGGTGCACTTTAAGTGAAAGTATAACATA